GGACCCTGAAGTGACATCACCAGTGGGCTGTAGCAGTAGCACAGCAAACAGGATGGTCTTGGCATGGAATGTGCTGGATGCCACCCCTCTCACCAGCCCAGGAGGAGGAACCCATGCCAGAAAGAGGGCGATCCAGGGCTTAGCCTTTTCCTGACAAGGACAGCTCATGCCACCTCCAGGATCCAGTGATGTGGGTGGGGTCCTGGGCTCTGAGAGGGGACCCTCCTTTGGTTTCCCCCCAAATTTCTGTTGAAGCAGCATTGACCCAGGTGGCTTTTGAATGGCTGTTTTAGAGGTGTACATTGCTCTTGCAGGTAAATGGGAGAGATGGGATGTTTTCTTTAAGACTTTTCACACCACTTCTGTCTGTCCTTAGTGGCTTTCCACGCCCCAGTTGTACAGATCCTTCCTAATACACCTGCTGGAAGGAAACACCATGGTGTTTTAAAGGGCCCTCTGACCTAGTCACCAGCTGCAGAGCCCAACTTCAGTGGCTCAGGTCAAAAAGAGAGTTCTCTTTCCTGGTGGCTCAGGGGCTTAAAGTATCCGTAGTATCAAGCTATCGCCAGCCACTGTGACATGAGTTTGATCCCCAGGCCAGCCAGGGAGCTGACCCACATGGTGCAATAGACCTCTCCTGTCCTGCCTGCTGCTCCTCCACCTGGTCTGGAATCTAACTCAGGCTGTCTTGACGGGCTGATCAGGCCAGCATGGCTGGCCTTTGCAGTGGTAGCACTGAGATCTAACATCAGGGAGATCCCATCACCATTTTCACTGAGTCTTAATAGTGGTGGTTCTGAGAACTAGCTAGGGGGAGTTTTAGTTCCTTCAGTGATTTCCATCAACTCTACTATTCTTTTTTTTTTTTTTTTTAAAGATTTATTTATTTGTACATACAGAACTGGGGTACAGGCCAGAGGCTCAGAGGCGGTGAGAGGCTTCACCAGAGACAGAGCGGGGAGCAGAACAGGCAGATGGAGGAAGTACACTGCTGAGGGGAGCAGCGGGCGGGTCAGGAGAGGTCTGCCACGCCATGTGGTCACCTCCGGGGCAGGCGGGGATCGAACTCATGCGGAAGTGGCTTTAGCTTCTCAGTGCAGTGCTTTAACCCGCTGAGCCACCAGGGAGGGCCAACTCTACTATTCTTTACAACATGTTTTCAATCTTCTTAAGTACAGTGCCACGCAAATACAGGTTCCTGGGTTCCTGACATATCAGGTAGTCTCTAGCATCCTGGGAAGTTAATAAAGGTCTAAAAAAATCTCTAAGTCTCAGATTCCCCAACTCTAAGAATGAGAGGGACTATATAGGCTGGTTGTGGATATTAAATGACACATGTGCAAAGCACTTAGCATCCTGCCTGGTATACAGTTGATACTTAACACACATTGTTTCCTTTCTCTAGAAAAGGAGTAGCCAGGTCAAGAGAGAATCTGAGGCAACTCAACCATACATCATGCCTCACCCTCTTTCTCCATGTCCCTCAAAGACAAATCAACTTAGACTTTGACCCTCCAGTAATATGTTCTGGAAATTCTCTCCCAAGATATCAAAGCTTGGTGTGGGATAGGGAAAGCCAGCTGCCCTTTTAAGGACTAGGTAGAGGGCCTAACAGGGGAGGGAATGAGTCTCTCCCAGGCATGGGCTGGTTCTTTGATTCTGGCACCCCAGAGGTTTCTGTCTCAGATTTGCATCACCTAGGCAGGCAGGTTACTACCCTGGGTAGTGGTTGGTTTGGTAAGAAAAGAGGGGGAAGGGAAATCACCTACTGAAGCCTGACCTGGTTACCAGCAAGGACCCACCCTCAGTCAGTCAAACAGTTGGCCCAAGATTTAGGCCACCCAGGATTTGCACAGGGCGTTGCCCTATTACCCAGCACAGCCTGCTGGCAAGGAGACCAGATCTTGGATCAAACACGCACATCCAACACACACTCATCCCACTCACACTTACCCCCATGCAGTCATTCATCATCCTACAGTCACAGACACACTCTGACCAAAGCGTAGAACTCTGTATCTTTCTTTTCTCTTCTCTCTGCTCTCCTCCCCAGTCCAAAGAAAGCCAGGATAAAAAAAAAAATTATTTATGTATATAGGTGCCGAAATGCAGGCCAGAGGTGTGGGGGGTGAGAGGGTGTGGGGGGTGAGAGGGTTCACCAGAGACAGAGTGGGGAGCAGAACAGGCAGATGTACTGAAATACACTGCTAAGGGGAGCAGCAGGGAGACAGGAGAGGTCTGCTGCGCCATGTGGGTCAGCTCCCCAGCCAGCTGAGGATTGAACTCAGGCCACAGTGGCTGTTGATAGCTTGATAGTACTGAGCCTTTAAACCCCTGAGCCCCCAGGGAGGCTCCACCAGGAGATATATTTAAGATTGATTTGGACACACACGATCCAATCCTGCCCCTCAATGGTGGAGTCAGACCCCCAGAACCCTAGGCATTTTGGGGTAGAAATGTATCCAGTGTGGAGCCAGAACCCTGCCTTACTATCCCAGGTCTTGTTATATGTCAGTTCCACGCAGATCCAATCTGAGCAGTGTTTAAGAGTTCAGTCCCTTCTTGTGTGTGCATGCAGCAGTGAACTGAGCTGGAATTGGAATGTCCAGCTGGCAGGAGGCTGTGCTGTGATGCCTGTTGTCTAATGGTTGTCAAGGTGGAGGTCAAAGAGAGGCCCAGTTGGAGTCTACTTCAAATTCCTAAAGGTCAGACAATCCAGCCTTTCCCTGCTGCTCCTTTTGGTAGCTCTGGGTCCCCCAGTATCTGCCCTTCTCCCAGCAGCTATTGGCAGGGAGAAGAGTAGCAGGGTGAATTGGCTAGAAACTTCTGGAGCCCAGGAAGAGCCCTGCCTCTTTATTCTTCTGTGCCCTCTCCAATTGTAAAACGAAGACCCTAATATTACTGCTTTGTCAGGGAGAAAAGGAAGGGGCCTATTAGAAGCATAGAGGAAGGAGGGAGCAGAGGTGACCGCCCCTGTTGCTGCGCCCTCCTCCCAGCCTCCGCCTCCAGACCTCAGCAGACTGCAAAAACAACCCAGCTTCTTGCCAAGAGGAGTTAGGCTGACTGAATTTCAGTTCTTGCTGCTTCCTCCTCTCATTGGCTGCAAACTTGGGGAGTGAGTCTTGACCCCTGATCCCCCTATAGGGATAAAGACCGGCCAGTGGGAGGGGTGGGGGGTGGGCAGGCTGGCCTCTGCAGCAGCCAAGTTAGCTCTGAGTTTTCAGGAGGAAGAGGACCCAAGGCAGGGCCGGGAGTGTGTTAGCAGTGGCACTGGGGCTGCGGGGTCCTGATTCAGAATTAGGTCCTGGCAGGCCCCTGGGCTCTGCCCCCAGCTTTGGCGAGTAGTCCAGAAGGGGACAGAAAGCAGGCAAGGCAGGACAGGGCAGCTCAAGTCCGGTCTGTCCCAGCTTCCCCTCTGGAGCCCAGGGGGGAGGAGGCCAAGTTCAGAACCAAGTTTTCCTGAAAAGCCTCTTTCCTTGTTCATCTAGCCCCTCCCAGCCCTCCCACATTGGGCTGCATCTTCCCAGCTCTAGGCAAAATGGCCAGGGCAGACCAGGGAAGAGCCCATTGCCCTTTCCTACTCTTCTTGGGGGCAGAGAAACAAAACTAAATTCAGGCCATTCTAAGGAACCTATTCTAGGGAGGCTGTTTTCTGCTAGGAATCGGGGGGTCAGTGGTCATGTCAGTGGCTTGGCTGTCCCCCTTCAGTCACCCCACTGTCCTTTCAGCTTGCTCACTTTTCCTCGCCCAGCTTGCTCCTTCCTTGGTGCCCACCTCTTCATTGACTGTCCTGTGTCCTGCTGCCTATGGGTGCTGCTGCCACAGGAGCTGCCTGTGTGTGTGTGTTTGGGGCCTGAGAGAAGAAAACAAAACACAGACTCTCCCTAGAAGCATGGCAGGAGGAGGAATGAACAGGTGGCTTGGCGCGCTGGGCTGCTAGAGGAGATGCTCCCATCTCTTCGTGACGCAAGTCCTCAGACAGCATAGACCTCTATTTAAGACCCCGATTTCACCATGGGGTAGTGGTTGATCCAAGGGAGATGCTGGCTCTTTCTAGCCTCTGTCCATTTGCTCATCTTCCCCTGTTGCTGATATTTATTTAGGTTTGGCAGATGAAGCAAGCAGTGGACGGCTGACCTTGGCCCAGACACTTCTAAGCTTTGTTTCCTCATCAGTAAAGAGGGGCAGGGTTAAAATAGTCTTTGTATTTTCTTGTGAGTTACCTTCTGTGGAATCCATAGCTTCCCTCAAACACTGGGGGATGGAGTGGGAGTAGGGGAGAGGGTGTCATTCTGCCCTGACTCCTGTATCACCTCAGGCCTCCATTATTTTAGGACCTCAAAGCACTTTCACCATAAAGCTCCCCTCCCTTGTCCTTTTTATTTCCCAGATAAAGGGAAATGACTCACCCTAAAGTCACCTTGAGTGGGTGGGGCAGTGTCATATAAGCAACAGAGACTCCTTAGGGACATCCCTGCCCCCATGACAACTCCCTTCCCTAGGGGTGCTCTCCCTAAGGGGAACAGAAAGGAAAAGTCCTTTAGTTCTCAGGACTTGGTCCTATAGTAAAAGTTCAGCTAAGCTCTGAGTCCAAGGATAGCTCTCCTCCCCTCCCCCGCTCCCTACTTGTCTCTCCCTCTGTGTCACCAGTAACCTCAAGGCGAGGTCAGTCCTGCAATCACGTGAAGTCCTCACGTTTGCAAGGTTTGCAGAAAGGGTTTGCAGAGCTAGCTTAGCTTTCCCAGGAGCAGGCAAGCCTTTAGTCCCGCCCCAGGAATTCACATGCCTCTGCCATACGGGCTTTTCAAACACACCATCCAGATTCTTCAGCGCTCTCGCCCGACCGGGCTCTCAGCACCTCCCCGGCTGGCAAGAGCTCTTGCAAAGCAGAAAAGGGAGAAGTCAGCCTACTTTGCCAGCGGACTACAAATCCCGACAGCCTTAGCGACGCGCAGGCGCACCAAGATCAACGTGCCTGCTGCTGGAAAAGTGTGTCACTGGGGCACGAGGCGCTCCCTGGGATCACATGGTACCTGCTCCAGTGCCGCGTGCGGCCCGGGAACCCGGGGTTGCTGGCGCCTGCGCAGAGCCCTCTGTCCCAGGGAAAAAGGCTGGGGCAAAAGGCGGCTGAGATTGGCAGAGTGAAATATTGCTGCCGAGAGATCGTAGCAGGGCACACGTCTCGCTTCTTCGCGCTTGGGTGCCCGGTTTCTCTTCATCACCTACTTATTTCCTGACTGCAACCTCTCTCCCTCTGGGACTTTTTGCACCAGGAGCTCCAGATTTGCCACCCTGCAGCGCTGCGGAGCCGTCAAGCAGTACTGCTCCGTGCACTGCAGAGATCCGACTCCTAGCTACCTTCTAACCAGAACTACCGCGGACTGATCCCCCTTCTCCCCTCCTCTCTGTGCTCTTCTCATGCAAAGGAGACCTCCGTTACCTCAGCGTCCCACCCTTCCGCAGGGTTGCGGTTTGGCCACCCCAAGATCTTGCTGCAGTGTGTCCCCGATCCTGATCGTGAGCCGCGGGGTCCACTCCCCGCCCTCAGCCAGTATCCAGGGGGCGACAGTGGTAATTGCAACCTCCACTTTGTGTCAAGGTCCCGTTTGAATGACCGCTCTCAGCCGGTAAAGACATGACGACCCTGGACTCCAACAACAACACAGGTATGAGATTCCCCTCACTGTCATTCCTTCCCTGTCGCTGTCTCCTCACCTGCATGTGCGCCTTAGAACAAAAACAAAAAACAAAACAACTTTATGAGGGACTAGAGAATCTCTCCTTCCCGGGCTTTGCTAGCCTGCTGCCATCAGCTGGGCTATCCAGAGCAGGTTGTTTAGCCTGGGAATGCGCTTCAAGCACGCCACCTCCACTCTGAAGTCCCAAAGGTCCCTTGAGCCTGAAGGACTGGGATCCCGGGCAGTAGGAAATGGCGAGTAGGTACGTAGAGTGAGACGAACAGTTCGGAGGTTCAGTTGGGAGGTTCGGGAGCTTTGGAGCGGCGCCCCGAGCCACCCCCTTCTGTCCACCCCTGCAGCTGTGGCATGCCAAGACTTCTCGGAAAGAGAATTCCCTCTTCCTCTTTCCCTAGTTCCCACTGGCTCAAGGTAACCTGAGAAACTGTGGGGCAGTAGGGCTTCAGGCTGGAGGTCCGGGGGGTAATGCTTGGCCAGACTCACAGGGGAATCCTCAGTGACAGTGGGGGGAGGCACTGGAAGGGCCCGGAGGGTGTTGCTGAACCCCACGGAGGACACCCACCGCGCCGGGGCGGCCTGGAGGGCTCACATGGCCGCGGAACCCGGCCCACGTGCTGCGTTTGTTTTCATTCAGCAGAAGCCGTGGCCACCACCCGATTGGTGGCTGCCTCCCGGCCCCATTACATAATGAGCTCCGCCCCTTGTCGCCCCGGCAACGCGTGTTCTCCTTTCTCCTCCCCTCGGTGGTCCGGGCCCAGCCCGCTCTCTGGGCCTGGCGCACGACCCGGACGCTGGGGGGCGGGACGGGGGCGGGGCTGTGCTACCGATTGACGGGAAGCGGGGAGGGTGGGGCCTCGAGTTCCGGGGTTCCTCGTTGGGGAGCCACGTGCGACAGGCACACGTGGAGCTGGGACGTGAGGCCGGCGGAGGGCCCGGCTCCCGCCCCGCCCCACTGAGATCTGGGTGAAGCTGGGCTGACTCACCACCCCCGCCTGCTTTCTTTTCCCGTCCGCCTGCCTCCCCCCATCACCAAAGAGGAGAGAGATGGGGTGATCCCTGACCTCTCCTGGCCTCATGTTTACGCTCCTCCAGGGGACCTCACATTTAGTCAGCCTTCTTTCCTCTTTAGCCTGTTTGCACTTACTTCATTGTATTTCCTTGAGACTGAGTCAGCTTGTCCACGTTCCAAATTGTTACCGTTCCCCCAAGCATCTCTCCTTATTCCTGCACTTTTTTGCCTCCCAACCTCACCGGATAAGCAGCAGTTTGCTATTTAAAGATTGCCCCATAACACCTGTATCCCAGAGTCATAGCTGGAAGGTTTAGTCTCTTTCATCTCCCCCCCCCAGCAACAAAGGAGTCTTGAGAGGCAGAGGTGAAAGTTGATTTCGTTTAACTTTCAAGTCAAGTCCGTGGTGGTGAGGCCTCTAGAAGTAGACTGCTAAGCACGCCCTTCACTTCCAGCTTGGAAGTCTCTTTGGGTGAAGGTCTTACTGCCGGTTTAGGAAATGGGTAGACTAGATCAAGTTCACTTACCACCAAATGAATGCCCATCCCCCCTACCTGAGTCCTGAAACTGTAGAAGCTGATCTGTTGTGCAACTGTTTTACAGGGAACTGGGTTCACCCTGACCAACCTTGAGCTATTTTAAGACTGCCCTGCCCAGCTTAGTGTGTGTCAGTGGGTGAGCAAGACATGTGCCTCTGTAGACAAGGTGGCCTGGCTTGTGTTGGCTCACACGTGGCCTGGGATCCTCCCTCTCACCCCGCCCATGGCAGGGCTATCTAGGTGCTTGGCAAGGTGTGGTAGGCAGGTCACCTTTTTCTTCTAATGTCACGGGAACTCAGCCACCTGGTTGGCAGTGTAGCCAGAGGGCCAAAGTCCTTGAATGACCAGAGAGCCAAGGTCATTGTGACCAGGCTGAGAGAACTGCTGGACAATTTGTCCTTCACTTTGCCTCCTACAACTTGCACTGCTCAGTCTTTTAAAATCAGACTAGATTCCACTCTGTCTTGCCTCTAAAGGGGAACCCACCTGAGCAGACCCTGTACCTTTGGAGAATACATCTTCCTGAACCCTTCACTCTCCTCGCTGTTGGCTAGCTGCCTTCCACGGGCTCATTCCTAAAAGTCTTAATGCTAAAATCAGCATTTTTGGGGGGTGGAAATGGCATTATGTGTCCCTAAGTCTACTGTTAACAATGAAGTTATGAGTTGCAGTTGATTATTTCCACAGAAGGCCTGCAGGACAGGTGGGCACGTATGTCAGATGCCAACAGGAGTCACGCCTTGAGTCATGCCAAGGCAGATGCCAAATATCTATATGGCAGGGCCATAGTACTGATGGGCCATGCCACGTCTAGTATGTGTTGGAGGGTTTCTTACTGTGTTTCTTTCTGGGGACTCCAAGATCAGGGGTTAGCCTCTGACGTACAGCAGTGTTTAGCGGGAGGCAGGGGTCTGGTGAACCGGGTGGTGCTTGAGGATGGAAGATACAGTCTCCACAACCCTTGTGTTCTCCTGCCAGGTGGTGTTATCACCTACATTGGCTCCAGTGGCTCCTCCCCGAGCCGCACCAGCCCGGAATCCCTCTACAGTGACAGCTCGAATAGCAGCTTCCAGTCCCTGACCCAAGGCTGCCCTGCCTACTTCCCACCGTCACCCACAGGCTCCCTCACCCAGGACCCAGCCCGTTCCTTTGGGAGCATTCCACCCAGCTTGAATGAGGATGGCTCCCCTTCTTCGACATCCTCCTCCTCTTCGTCCTCCTCTTCCTTCTACAATGGGAGCTCCCCAGGGAGTCTACAAGTGGCCCTGGAAGACAGTAGCCGAGTGTCCCCCAGCAAGAGCACCAGCAACATCACCAGTGAGTACATTTCCAGCTGCTCTCGGGGCCAGGAAGGCAGCCAGTCCTAGGCCGGGTGTTGGTGTTCACGTGACACTGCTGCTCTGGGGCTTGCTCTGGCCTTCGGGGGTTTCTCTTAAGAGTTGCACCAGCCCCTGTCCAGCCCAGTCTGGTCATTTGAGTGCCCCCCCCCGATACTAGAACACCTCCTCAACTCCCTTGGCTGAGAATCTCCAGCCTGGAAAACCTCCACATCTTGGGCCACCTGGATAGCCCGCCCACCTGCTGCTCACCCACCGCCCCTGTCTTCCCACAGAGCTGAACGGCATGGTGCTGCTGTGTAAAGTGTGCGGGGACGTTGCCTCAGGCTTCCACTACGGCGTGCATGCCTGTGAGGGCTGCAAGGTGAGGCAGGTGGGGGTAAGGGCGGGAGCAGGCGACCCCTCCCGCAGCCCAGCCGGGCCAGGCCCAGGCGCAGCTGCTCACTTGCTACCCCTGCGCTCCAGGGCTTCTTCCGTCGGAGCATCCAGCAGAACATCCAGTACAAGAGGTGTCTCAAGAATGAAAACTGCTCCATCGTCCGCATCAATCGCAACCGCTGCCAGCAGTGTCGCTTCAAGAAGTGTCTCTCCGTGGGCATGTCTCGAGATGGTGAGGCCACACCGTTGTCCCATCAGTGTCCACGTGTCCCCCCCACGCCCTCCCCCCCATTTCCGAACGAATCCCTCCCTTCCAAGAAGCCCCACATCCTCCTGCAAATCTCATCTGCATAGGGGAGGCGGTATTCCACCCTCTGGGTCAACACACACTTCTTTCCCATTAGTCCCTCAGGTCACCTCCTCCTGCAGTCCCTACTTGGAAAACCCCCTGGAGGGGCGTGGCCCGGCTGGTTTTAGTTTTGACGTGGAACCCCAAGCCTTCAGGGTCTTGCCCTTTCAGGAAGAAGGAAGGAAGAGGAGCACGTGAGTGTGTATGAGAACTTCCTGACACTGCTCTCGTCCTGTCACAGCTGTGCGTTTTGGGCGCATCCCCAAGCGAGAGAAGCAGCGCATGCTGGCTGAGATGCAGAGTGCCATGAACCTGGCCAACAACCAGCTGAGCACCCAGTGTCCGCTGGAGACCTCGCCCGCACAGCACCCCGCCCCAGGCCCCGTGGGCCCCTCGGCCCCCCCAGCCCCGGCCCCTTCACCACTAGTGGGCTTCTCCCAGTTCCCACAACAGCTGACGCCTCCGCGCTCCCCAAGCCCCGAGCCCACCGTGGAGGATGTGATTTCCCAGGTGACTCGGGCCCACCGAGAGATCTTTACCTATGCCCATGACAAGCTGGGCACCTCACCTGGCAACTTCAATGCCAATCGTGCATCTGGCAGCCCTCCGGCCACCACCCCACATCCCTGGGAGAGTCAGGGCTGCCCACCTGTCCCCAATGACAATGCCCCGGCCACTCAGCTTCACAATGAAGCCCTGAACAGTTTACGCCAGGCGTCCTGCTACCCTCCCGCCTGGGCCCCTGGTCCTGCCCACCACAGCTGCCACCAGCCTAACAGCAATGGGCACCGTCTATGCCCCACCCACGTGTACGCAGCACCAGAAGGCGAAGCAACTGCCAGCAGTCCTCGGCAGGGCAACTCCAAGAACATTCTGCTGGTGAGGGCATGGGGGGTGAGGTGGGCAGGGGGCCTGGAGGACTGGATTTAGCACAGGGCAGCTGGGTGTGCCTGGAGACTCGGATGTCCTTTTCCCAGGGGAGTATGCTCAGCCCTGCAGTAAGGCACTGCCCGGGAGACCTGGGACCTGGTTACCATCTAACTTGGTACAGCCCCAAACGCAGGTAGAACCTGGGGCCCAGCCCTGCTCGAGGGACCCATCCGAGTCAGCTGCTGGGGCTCCGTTCTCAAAGTCCCTTCCTCCTCCAGGCATGCCCCATGAACATGTACCCGCATGGACGCAGTGGGCGAACTGTGCAAGAGATCTGGGAGGATTTCTCCATGAGCTTCACGCCCGCGGTGCGGGAGGTGGTAGAGTTTGCCAAGCACATCCCTGGCTTCCGCGACCTTTCTCAGCACGACCAGGTCACCCTGCTTAAGGCTGGCACCTTTGAGGTGAGTTTCCCTTTGTGTTCCCTGCAGAACAATCTAGCACAAAGGCTTGGCGTCTGGGGCGGGCAGGAGCTCTGAAACTTCAGTATCTGGCTTTACAGATGCTTGACTAACAAAACAGGGGAGGGGACAAAGAGCCATCCCACTTCTGCCTCTGGACGACTGGGACTTCTGTCATGCCAGCTGGGGTCTAAGCACACCCTTCTGCCTTAAAATGATACCTTGGGCTACACTGTCACCCTCCCACCCTATGTAGGCCTGAGCCAATTTGCGTGGGTGCAGTGCCTCGCCCCAGGGAGTGACAGAGCTGAGACTTAGATTCAGGGGCCTCTGGAGTCCAGAGCCAGTGGGCCATTCCCCATCCCTGCCCGTGTGGTCCTTCCTCCATTGCCCAATCGCAAACCACCCTCAATCCACAGAGAAGTCTAAGGCTGAACCAGTAAGCGCTTCAGAAAACCTGAGGGCTCCTCCCACCCACCCAGGACGACTGTTCCCCGCCCCCCCACCCCCAGGTGCTGATGGTGCGCTTTGCATCGCTGTTCAACGTGAAGGACCAAACAGTGATGTTCCTGAGCCGCACCACCTACAGCCTGCAGGAGCTCGGTGCCATGGGCATGGGAGACCTGCTCAGTGCCATGTTCGACTTCAGCGAGAAGCTCAACTCCCTGGCGCTTACCGAGGAGGAGCTGGGTCTCTTCACCGCGGTGGTGCTCGTCTCGGCAGGTAGGCCAAGCTGTCGCCTGGCCCTGACCCGGGGAGGAGGCGGACGCAGTTCGATTCAACACACCTTTTATGGAGTACCTACTCTATGCCAGGCCCTGCACGGGGCGCTGGGGATACAGACATGATTCAGACACAGTCTAGCTGAGGAGACAGACTCATGCCCGACTAAATATAAAACAGTGAGATAAGTGTCACAGTAGAAGCATGAACCAAGGGCTTTGGAAGCACAGACAACTATTTCTGCCTGGGGGAGCTGGGGAAGGAGGTGACACTTGAGTGGGGCCTCAAAGGACAAGTACGATACTGCCAGGCAGGGGGAAGGGCATCCCAGGCAGAGGGAACTAGAGCGAAAAGCAGGGGAGCTGGGGTGTGTTTGGCCTGTTCAGGGAAGGAGCGTGGCCTGTGGGCTGGGCGGTGACTGGCCTTGCTGAGCCCAGGCTCCCAGCTCTGGGGGGTCGGTGGGGGGCAGGGGGGGTTCTGCTGGGGGTGGGGGCAGAGGCCTGGGAGAGGGGCCTTGCTCCCCTCCTCCTGCCCGTGGGCCCTAGGCGGGGCTTAGGGAGAGGCCGCGTTGCCTGGCGCAGCGGCCTCTGCTGCGTCCTCCTCCGTGTCCTCGTCAGAGGAGCTCAGGGAGTCTGCCTCACTGCTGTCGTCTTCCCCACAGACCGCTCGGGAACGGAGGACTCCGCTTCGGTGGAGCAGCTCCAGGAGACGCTGCTGCGGGCTCTTCGGGCTCTGGTGCTGAAGAACCGGCCCTTGGAGACTTCCCGCTTCACCAAGCTGCTGCTCAAGCTGCCGGACCTGCGGACCCTGAACAACATGCATTCCGAGAAGCTGCTGTCCTTCCGGGTGGACGCCCAGTGACCCGCCCGGCCGGCCTTCTGCCGCTGCCCCCTTGTACAGAATCGAACTCTGCACTTCTCTCTCCTTTACGAGACGAAAAGGAAAAGCAAACCAGAATCTTATTTATATTGTTATAAAATATTCCAAGATGAGCCTCTGGCCCCCTGAGCCTTCTTGTAAATACCTGCCTCCCTCCCCCATCACTGAGCCTCCCCATCCTCCCCTATTTAAACCACTCCCCCCTTATTCTTAGCCTCCCCCCCCCCAATTTGTTCTATTCCTGTCTCAAATCCAATAGTTCACAGCTGAGCTGGCTTCTGTGGTGTGTGCTCGTTTGGGGGTGGGGTGGGGTGGAAATACTGCCAAGGCTGGGGGGGACACCTCTCCATCTGGTCAGTTTGTGGGGCGGGTACTCTGCCAGCAGATGGGAGGATACAGGGAAACAGCACACAAGTCTAAGGGGGGTGCCCGAGGGGGTTATTTTCATCATATATTTATTACATAAATATATAGTAAAATAGACGAGCAACAATTACCATAAAAATATCTTTCTTTAAAATCCTGACCCAAAACACAACGGGGTGAAAAATCGCACATAACAGACATACTGATTGTCAACGTGGGGCGAAGTAGGAGCCCCCAAGTCACCCCTACCGGCCCCACCCCTCCCTGGGGAAGGGACCTACCTCCTTCCCTGTTTCTGGCCATTACCCCCCTCCCCCCACCCCAGCACCAGCTTCTTATACATTCAGTAGCGCCTCCAGGGAAGAGTCCCCTCCCCCCACCCAGGAGTTCCCAGGGCAGGAATTACTGTCCCCCTTATGGACGGTGTCTGTCACACGCCCTGCCCTTTCCCAGCCCTGTAGGCCCACCACCAGGGAAAGGGGTAGGGGCTCCTCCACCCCCACCCTCCCCAAGTCTGAGCAGGGAGGAGGCTGGATGAGGTATGTGTGTTATGAGTGATAGGAGGGGGAATACTGAGATGGAGAGGCCGGTGGTGGGGGCGGGTAGTGGTCATGGCTCTGGCACCCCCTTGTCCTGGCCTGGCCCCCTCATCCTATTCCCAGCAGTCCCTCCTCCCACCAATACTGCACCTGCTGCCCCACCCTGCCTGCCCTAGTGCCCTGGGCCAATACTGGGGGAGGCATGCTGAGCACCCACATCAAGGCCATCCCCTTCATTAGCACCAATGGCCCCCAGGAGAGGGCCCTGTCCCCTACTTTCACAGCAGGGACTGGGACAGCTGCCTCTCTAGAGCAGGTGCGGCACTCCTGAGTCTCCCTGGCTCCTCCCCCCACGTGTACTCGCTCACACATTCACGCAGAGGAAAGCACACATACACCCCACCTCGGTGAGTGAGGGGGGAGAGAGAGGGGGCCGGGGCAGGGGGGAGTGAGGGATCACAGCTGATATGACTGGGAGTGGGTTGGGGGATTCCCAAGTGCCTGTGAGAGGCCATGGCTGAGAATGGTGATGACCAGGGAGAGGTGGGGATGGAGGGATGGGGGAGACAGCAGACAGGTCAGGAATTCCACTGGGCCCCCGGGGGGGGGGGGGGGTGGCAGGAAGGTAGAGGGCTTATCCAAGGGGCTGGAGTAATACAGGAATCAGAACCCCAGGAGAGAGAGAGAGAGGACAGACAGACAGAGACAGCAAGGGCGGCCAAAGCCCGATGGGGGTGGGGCAGGCACACACTCAGGTGCCAGCAGATGTTCTTCCAGGCCCCCTCACCCTGTCGGAACACCTGAACAGTGGGGGCAGGACGGAACCCTGCTGGGCAGCATGGCCTTGCCTTCCCTTGTGTGTGTGTGTGTGTGTGTGTGTGTGTGTGTGTGTGTGTAGGGGGCTGTGGCAGGCTGAGGGTCAGAGTGGGGTGGCAGGTTCCCCACCGCTTAAGACATTTTTGCCCCAATAGTGCAAAGCGCAGGAAGCCCTGGCACCCCGCCCCCCGCCCCCCGCCCCATTCCCCATGGCTTCCGGGGGCATCTATGTCCACCCATCCATCCCTGCCGACGTGCAGCCGAGCCCAGGGCCCTCTGGTCTGCTCTGTCCCTCCTGCCCTCTCCTACCCCCCCTGCAGAGGGCCGCCTCCCTCCCCGACCCCCCAAGGAGTGGGTGATAGCCAAAGGGAGGGGGAGGTGGGCAGCTCACCCCAGTGCAGACCAACAGAGTGCTCCTCACCAGGAGGGTGGGAGGGGCTCAAGCCAAAGTCCCTGAATTACAGAAAAGTAGAGGGGAAGGGGTCCCAGGGGCACAGGGTGGGGGCTGGCCTAAAGAGCTTCAAATAAAAAAGGATGAGCACCAACCACCCCTTCCCTGGGCCGCCAACTAAGTGCCATTTATCTCAGCACCCCCCTTCTGGTGCCTGCCTGCCCAGAGTCTGGGTTAGTGCATCAAGTAGGAGGGGGAAGGAGGAGGGCAGAGGTCAGAGGAGGGCCCAGAAGACAGCGGGAGCAGGGTCCGAAGTGGGTGAGGCTCCGGGACAAGCTCCCGCGTGCACCTGCACCCCCACCCCGGGCAGCAGCATCTGGGTTGTAGCTAATACTGCAGGATGTGTGGAGGGCGGGAGCTCGAGCCACAGTTTTTCCTGTGTGGGTGCCAAGGTGTGGCGGGGTGGAGGGGACAGGGAGAGGCCCCTGGGGCTGGGCACTTGAAAGGGGAGCTGTGTGGGCAGCAGGGCAGGCTGGTGAGGGGCCAGCTGGCATCCAGCGTGAGAGGTAGATGGAACTCAGCGGGCACGAGTGGCAGAGAGCAGAGGGGGTACTGGGGTGGGGTGCCAAAGGGGCACAGAGGGGGGGCACGGCAAGGGGGGTGGCCAGGACCCTGTTGTGTTAGCTCACAGCTCTGATCGGCAGCCCTACCCTTGGGGACCTGGTGTGGGGGGCACTTCTCTCTGATTTGGGGGAGGTGGGGCAGCTCTCAAAGTGCATGGGGGTGGTAGGGGGGGTCCTCCCCTCTGGCCAGCCTCAGTTAATAACTTAATATCATCTCTCTCTCTCTCTCTCTCTCTCTCTCTCAATCGCTCAATCTTTTTTTTTTTTTCTTTTTCTCTCTGTCGAGTTTTTCTTCATTTATCTTGTCCCCTTGCCTGGTATCCAAAGTGCAGTTAGAATGACTATAATTTTTAACCTCCAGGGGAGGAGCCAAGCCAAGCCTTTCTTTGCACCCAGGCATCTGGGGAAGAGGCCCTTAGCCTGGAGGGGGAACCTAGGCCAAGGAATGGGGGGGGGGCTCTCGCTTGGGCTGTGTAGGGGGTGAGCTGAGGGCACCTTCCCCCACCCCACACTCCTGTCCCTCACAGTCACTCCTCCCCTGCAGTTAGGATGGCTCTTAGCTCTCCTCCCTTCCCCTGCCTTCTCAGGGGACGGGGTCCTGGGAACCGCAGGACACGGCTCCCCAGCCTCCCACACTGTCCTGTTCATAGCAAGTTCATTTGTGTGCCCTGTCCCAGGGCCGGAGGCTCTGAGGAGGGACGGGGGCAGTGCGGGTGTGTGTGGGAGCTGAATCTATCCGAGGGCGAGAGGAAGGAGAGAAGAGGTGTGGGGTCTCCCTCAGCCCCCAGCTCTGCCCCTTCTCTCCAGGCTCCTCCCCACCAGCTCCGCACACCCTCTGGCCGCCTGAGGCTTTAGACTTCCTGATCCTCAAAGACCTCGAGGAAGAGTGGGGGGAAGAGTTCGGTGGGGCACTCGACTTTCATGTGGAGGAAGCGGCTGGCGTGGCAGGCCCCGATCATGCGGAGGTCAGTCACCTTCATCAGCAGCTTGGGCCAGAAGTGCGGAATGTTGTGTTTGCGGTGGTTGACGTAGTGCTCGAACGCCAGCAGGTACGCCTCCTGACTCTTCTCGATCTTGTCCACACACAGCAGGCCCGAGCGGTCTGTGGGGAGCAGGTGCGTGCCGGTGAGTACGTGACAGCGGTGAGGGTGGGGGAGGGGCCCAGGAGGAAGGAGCAAGGACAGAGGGTGGGGGGGGTCTGGCAAGAAGGGCTGGTGGTGGGAGAGGCAGGCCCAGGAAGAGAGGGAGGGAGAGAGGATGGAGGCAGGGCACAGGAGATGCAGGGAACAAGGCGGGGTGGGCATGAAGGGAGCGGGGTGCCAGATTGGCCCTGGTGGCGGAGAGGAAGAACAGAGGAAGGCGGGATCAGGAGGCAAGAGACAACAGCAGAGTCAGAGGTGACAGAGACGGGGACGGGAAGCAGGTAGGCTCGAGTGCCAGAGAAAGCCTGGGTGACAGCCGTAAGCAGCGGGCGGGGGTGGAGAAGCTAAGGAGCAGAGACGACTAGACTCGGAAAGAAGAGCCCTTTCTGGGCCCGGGGCCAGTCACGCTCTGGGGCCATGGAGGCTGCCAGCCCTCCCAGCCACGGGCAGGTACCTGTTGACATTAGCAGCACAGCCTGCAGTAGAGCCACTTCCGTGTCATCCAGGTTAAAGGCAGAGAGTGACTTGCCCAGTTCAAAGATGGCGTCGGAGACGACGCCCAGGCCGCCATTCTTGAGCTGCTCCCGCTTGACAGCCATCTCTCCACTCAGGGTCAGTGTGTCGCTCTCGGGGTCGTAGCGGACAGCCGCCCGCAGGGACATGATCTCCATGCAGCACCCCTTCAGGAGGATGATCTGGTCTTCGCAAGGCAGCTGTGGGGAAGCAAGGCACAGGCACGCTCAGCCGGTGTCCCCCAGACGCCCTCTGGGGGCTTCAAGGTCAACACTGGCTTCAGCCAGGAATGTGTACTTGGAGAGTGAGCCTGGTCCTGGGCAGTAGACTTGCCTGTCTCATCAGCCTCACAGCTAAGCCTGCGCGGTACGACCCGTCTCTATCTCCATCCCTACTGCAGATGCGGAAACCGCACGACAGGGAGCAAGAAAACATGGTGAAGACGCTACCAAGTATTGGACAGACAGTCACTGGAGGTAGTGCTCTTTACAATGGGGACAACTTTCAAGTTGTCTGGAGTTGGAATGGCCATGTAGAGTTGGTGGGGAGAGGGCCAGGGAAGGCCTGGGAGGGGCCGTGGGCCGAGCACTTGGAGCCTGCTGGCTCCCCAGGGATCAGCTCGCCCCGGGTGTAGGCTGACACGTGTGCAGGTACGTGTGTGTGTGCATGCAGGTACACTCAAGAACATGCATGCATGTTCACACGCACTGGGAGTGTGCTGAGCTACAGCCAGAGTCTCAGGTGGTCAGATGCTGGTATCAGGAAGCCCGAGCTTCCCTCCAGTATATGGTACCACGTCTCACTTCCCACCTGCAACTCACCTCGGAGAACATGGGCAGTTTTTTGGCAAAGTCCACCACGCGGGTGATGGCCGGGGTGATGATCTTGGTAAACTCGCTGAAGGCTTCTAGGTCCACCTTGTCTCCATCCGGCATGGAGACGATGGGTGACTGGCCAATGTCATCAGGCTGGAGGGAGAGACAGGGGTCAGCTGGGGCTGCAGACCCCTTTCAACTTCTCACTGAGGCTCCCTGCCCACCAGGGGGAGCTCCAGGGCAGCCTGGGGAAGAGGGGTCCCGGGTCCCAGCCAAAGGCTTCTCTTTCACCTTGAGGCTGTAGAACATGGCCAGAGCTCCAAGCTGGCTAATACTGACGATGACCATAATAGCAGAAGGAATGTAATAGTAACGGAAACTGTATTTGTTGGATATTTAATATGCAGTCAGGCATGTTTTACATATATTATCTCACTTAATCTTCACTACAATCCCGTAAGAAGGTATAATTATCACCATCACAGAGCAGGAAACTGAGGCATAGCACTGCTGAGTAAGAGCCCAAGGTCAGATGGCCAGTAAGTGGTAGAACTAGGACTAAACCTAGGAGCCTGACTCCTCTTTCTCACATACACACACACACACACACACACACACATACACACACACACACACACACACCTGCCTGGTGTCACAGCCCACACTCCTCAACGCACGCTGTTCCCTGCATGTGCTTCCCGGAACCAGAACCAGTTTTCTGCCTCCCCCTCCCCCCAGTTATAACCAACAGTCCATCTCCTCCTAAGTTGAATGCTCACTTAAAACTCAGTTCTGCCAGGGCCTAACACAATGCCTGGCACTCAGCAGCTGCCAAAAAATACGGTTTCAAGGTGTATGGGGGACGGTGGGGGAGTGAGCTTTGGGTCGGTTAAATCAGGGTGGCTTTCTGGAGGAGGCAAGACTCTGGAGCCCGCTCCCCTTGCCAAGCCACTCAGCTGCTTCTCTCTCCACACCCCCCTCTCCTTACCAGGAATTTCCGCCTCTGCTTCCAATGGCTGCCCTGGGCATTTGTGCTGCGATGGGCCTCCGTGGCAACATGGATCAGATCCCACTCTTCGGGAGTGGGCTCTGGTCGCTGCTGCAGAGACCGGATCATCTCCTCCTTCCGCCGCCGCTCCCGGTTCTGCTCGATCAGCTTGCGCTTAGCCACCCGCTTGGAGTCGTCTAGAACCACTGTAACAGACACACAGTCTGTGTGGCACTCCCCACACCCCCTCCCAGAAGCCACTCCTCCTGGTGCGCAGCTAGGGAAACTGAGTGGTTCAGTGGTTCCCATACCACCCAGCGGTGGGGGGCAAGCTGGACAGGGATGACCACTGGGAAGTCAGCTTCAATTTGGGCTGCTCCAGGGGAACGGCACATTCTGCAGGGCCTTTCTGATAGTGGTTACCAGCGACCTTGCCGCCCAGTTCCCAGCCAGTGAGACGCCCTCTCTCAGCCAGAAGTGGAGTGCCTTCTCTGGCAGTCGGGAGCAACATGGGGTTGCTGAGGGCATCTTTCTACTCAGCGACTCCCTCCCTAAGGCCCCCAAGCGGCACAAGGCAGACAGGCACTGGGCCCTCATCCAGGACCCGCAGAGTGACCCTTGGCTTCCTTTCCCCAGGGAGGGGGGCAGCAGGGACCCATGAGCGTTCATCCTCCCAGCAGCCAGGCCTGGATGGTCACTCTGTCCTGTGGGCCCTGAGGGTATCCTGGAAGGGGGCTGCCATATCTGACCACGCCTCCCCACAGCTGCGGGCCGTCCCCCCACCCGCCCCCTTACAGTCCATGGCCATGCCCACGGCGATGCACTTCTTGAAGCGGCACAGCTGGCACTGATTGCGGGTGATCTTGTCGATGACACAGCAACTATCATATTTGCAGGAGTAGGTGGGATGGAGGTTCTTCTGGATTGTGCGGCGAAAGAAGCCCTAAAGAGGGGGGTGGGGGGGGTCACAGAGCCATTGTGAGTATGTGGTCTCCTTCCTGACCAAGTTCTCTGGGGGCCGAGGGGATTATCAAGGCAGCCTGGCATCCGGCTGACTTGGAAGCCCAGCAGCCACAGGGGTCAGGCTCAGAGCATTAGAAATAGGTGCCTCAGGCCCCAGGCTGGAGGGCGGGGCACATGGGGAGCGGTGCTGGGAGGTAAGGATGGAGAGATCTGGGCCTAGGGTGGCGTAGCTGCTAAGCTTAAAGGAAGAAGAGCTTGGCAAGTCTGACTAATACCTTCTAGTCCATCTGCTAAAAGCCCTAAAACAACACCAACCCCAAAGCCATCCTCACAGGCTGCCTGTGCAGGAGGACTCTGTAAACTAGAGGGTCAAAAAGTGGAGAAATGGGCTTGGCTATGAAGGCCAAGAGTTTCAAAAGAAAAAGTGGCATTTTATACATGTAGTCTTTGCATTAAAGGAAAAAGCTCGAGAATCCAGATGGTAGCAGTGAGAAGAGCTACTACGGGGCAGGGCATCTGAAGCCTTTTCCTTAGTGCATCACTGCCGTTAACACTTGTGTTAACCACAGAGGTAGGCGCTGTGATCACCTCCACTGGACGGACTGATGTTTGGAGACCTCAAGCAATTTGCCCAAAGTCGCCTGGCTCAAAAGGCAGCAGCACCTGGACCAGAGGGAGCAGCGCCCGGTCTGGGCACTCAGAGGCTGAGGCTCTCACCAAAAGCACAGATCCCAAGGCCCTCCCCGGTGGCGCAAGGGGTTAAAGCGCAGCACAATAAAGCCGACCCAGCCGCTTCTGCACAAGTTCAACCCCCGGCCAGGGAGGTGACCGCATGGGCATGACGCAGCAGACCTCTCCTGACCTGCCCGCTGCTCCCTTCAGCAGTGTACTTCAGTCCACCTGCCTGTTCTGCTCTCCGCTCTGCCTCTGGTGAATCCTATCACCCCCTACACCTCTGGCCTGTACCTCAGCTCTTGTATGCATACATAAATAAATCTTTAAAAAAAAAAAAGCAGAACACACAGATTCCTGTGCCTCACTCTACTCCTGTGTCAGCACTCTCCAGGGACGGGGCCAAAGCCTCTCGGTTTTGGGGGCTCCTCTGGGACTCACGTGCTGAGGGTGAGGCCCCTCGCTCTACAGTATGTAGCCCACAATGCCTCTGGGAGCAGTGTCATGGAACTTTCTCCTGGCTGATCTTGACTCTTAAGAAACAAAGGAACGCGAAGCCTTCACATACTTGTAAATAATTCTGTTTCTTGGAAGGTCTTCCATTTCCAGGGTGATGCTGGGAACACCCCCGCAGGTTGTAGTGACCAAAGTAAACACGGAGGGAGGCTGCCTAGGCCATGACTTTGCCCTCGCTGCCCGGCGACTGCCACCCTCTCCCCCAGGCCCCTGCTATGTCCTTGCTGATCTGCCCACCTTCACCGGGCAAGTGCACCCGCTTCCTGGGCTCCACCACAAAAGGTTCTGATCAAGTAGGGTGGACCGACCTGGGCTCTGCATTTTCCTGGTCCCGTAGGTAGCCAGGAACCACGTTCAGAAAAACACTGATGCCTGTCTGTTTGAAGCCTGTCTGGCGGGCAGGTGGTGAGAAGGACCCTAACCCTTCACACTTAACACACTGGCTGGCTGGCTGGCAGCTGACAAGTACTGGGTGCTTCTTTTGTGCCTGGCATTGTTTTAAATACTTTATGTGAATGATCTCATTGAATTCCCCCTAAGACTCGACGAGGCCGGTGACATAGGTAACATGACTAGTCTCCTTTCATACATGAAGAAACCGAGGCCCAGAAAGGTTAGAGCAAGGATTATGAATGAACAAATGAGTGAATGAATAAGAAATGATGGTAACCAGCAGGTTTTAGGTTCCCTGTTTATAGAGCTGTTGGTTGTACCAGGTGCTGAAAGCCTGAGTGGGAGACGGGGTTAGGCGTTGGGGGTGGGGCGGGGCTGGCTGGCCCATACCTTGCAGCCCTCGCAAGTGATGCAGCGGTAGTGGTAGCCGGTTGCCTTGTCCCCACACACGACACACTGCTCGTCTTTGTCCAGGTAACTAGGGATATACCCTGGGGGGAGGAAGGAGGCAGGCAGGGAGGCATGGCTTGGGCCCGAGCTGAGTGGCTCCTATGCTGGCTCCCCCTTTCTGGCCCATCCCTGACCCAGCCTCCCTACAGGGTTCTTAGTCTCCAGGTGGGGTCCTGGAGACACATCAGAGGTTATCGTGTCTAGCCTCTTCCCTAAGAATAAAGAGCACCCCCACTCTTCTGACTGTCCATTCAGGAGTTTCCTCTGGCTGCATCCGAGGGTCAGGGGAGACAGGAGAGGGAGCAAATGTCAGCAGCTCATCTCAGAGGAATACACCAAGGACCCCGCTGAGGCCTCGGACATGGGGTGCCAGAAAAGGAAAGGGGTCTAATCCATCCTCAAAACCCACAGGCCCACAGAAGCCCTCTCACCTCCAGGCAAGTTCATCCCAAGCCCTCTAGGAGGCGCTCCCCATGGGACACAGGTGCTGCAGACAGTGTGCAGGCCCCAGAGAGACCTGGCCTGGCTGGGGGGAGGGCGGGCGAGAGGGCGCATGTAGCTAAGCTCACCTGACATGCTGGTTTTCAGGGAACATTGGCCGTTCTTTCTTTTTCGCTTTCCATCTGGTGACCTGGCACTGGATGGGGGCAAGGTGGGCAGAGTCACAGAGCATGCGAGGGCAGCCCCCTTCTCACCTAGCAGGTTAATATAACCCCCCACCCAAATCCCTCCAACTGTGTCCTTGTTCAACCCCCTCCCCCAGGTCAGCTGACAAAGCTGAGAAGGGTCCAGCTATCTGGAAGCTACAGGGGACAGAGATAAGGCATTTGGCTGGGGCACAAGTATGATCCAGTGCCCCAACACACACACACACATACACACACACAAGCGTGTGCACACATAGGACCTTAGGCACCTGCACTTCACAAGATACCCACATATTTAAGCCTTCAGTACCTGACACCTGCAGAAGGAATCCTCAGGACATGTTGAAAGGACATAACCTTTACACACACACACACTATACGCCAGAGCACATGTGCCTGTCAGCACAAACCCAGGTGCGGCACATACACACCAGAATCTACATCTCTGCAACCTTCAAGACATTCTTAAATGTGTATACGACCACTAGTGTGTGCCCTTCCCACCCCCCGTTGCTTGAACACGTTGCTTGATTTCCAGGCCAGGCCCACATGCTAAATAACCACAGTGACTGAAAACAGTGCCCAGCAACTAGAACCTAGTGCCGGGAATGAGAGACCAGGAAGGGATTGCCAGAATCCCAGTGTCCATGGCCTCCACTTAATAGAGCAGCAGCCGAGGTCCTGCTGGCCTGGTGACACTGGGCACTGCAGAAAGAGCCAGCATGAAGCTGAGTGCCCCTCCATGCAGGGCACGAGCAATTCTCAGCCATGGCACATATATGTCTCCCGTCTCTGCACACACATGTTATGTAACGGCAGACACACGTCTTATGTAAGCCCTCGACATGCGTGTACGCTCGACTGTATAACCTCGCACACCCACTCTTGCGAGGGGCACGATGCAGGGCCCTCCTCCCCAGCCGGGTGCAGCACCCAACACACTGACACAGTGACCTTGGCCAGGTCAGCGTCACAGACAGCACTGCATTTCATGCCCCCTTGGGCACTGCCCTGTGCTGGAGGGTCAGCCCTCCCTCCCCTCTCCAGGACAGGTGTGTGGGGGGGGGCTTCTGGACACTTAGGTCTCAGGTGAGCGCGGCCTCAGCAAATACTAACCTCTCAGTTTCTGGGTGTAGTTCCCAGGAAAGCCACTGGGTGGCGCAGGGACATGGGGAGGTAGGGTGTCGGGGAGGGGCTGTAGTCTGAGGTGGGGGGGGGTGCATTCCCGCCTTTCTCCAGTTAGGAGTAGATTTTTCAGGCCCCACAGAGCCTGGGCAGGAAGGTACAGAGGCTTCGAGTAAGAGAGAGCTAAAAAGTGATAGGTTAGATCTTTTTCAGAGTCTCCCCTACGGTGAGGCTTTTGGGGGTACCCCAATTTCCTCCCTAACTGCCAGTCCCATCCATTGCCTCTACCTCTCCAGGGACCCAGTCTTGGGCCCCAAGGCTTTGCCTGGCCAGGCCTCAGGCCTCCTGGCTCATGATCTGGTCTCCTAGGCAACGGCCACACTGCTCCCCAGAGCACCCCCTCCCCCAATCTCTCCATGGCCATAGGCACAGGCTGTACCCAGCTCCCAGGGCACCATGCCAACTGGGACAGAGCTCTGTGCCACTTGGAGCCAACGGGAGAGGCAGAGACCCTCTGGGCTCCTGGAGGGCAAGGCAGCTCACAGGTAACCTGGCCTGGCCATGTGTGGGGCCGCCTCCTTCACGTGCAAGCACAACCCTCTTAGCTGGCATTCACTTCCACTTCCTGGGAGGAGCTCCACGACAGTGCCCGCCCTTGCCCACGAACAAGGAAGAGCTTGTGGGGCTCCCGGTAGGTTCCAAATGTAAGTGTGGGCTGTGACCAATGATGACGGGTGCACGTGCCCTGAAATGTCACGTCACATACACCGTGGCATGTGGACGGCACAGCAAAGGGCTGGCGCGAATGGGCCGTAAGGGAGAGCAGGCCGTCTGCAATCCGCACGTGCAGGTGAGGGCAGCAGTGGCAGAGGCGACGGTCTGCACCACACTGACCAGGCAGCAGCCTGTGTGGCTGCCGCCTGTAGTGACTTTGCCCTGTATCACTCACCCCTTCTGCAAAATGGGCATCTCTCAGTCCACGTGCCCAGTTTTCTGTGAATCTGAACATGACCTCACCTCCTGGGCAAAGGTAGGCAGCAGGCTCACTGGCCTTGCCCATCCCCCAGAGGTGCTTAAAGTGCCCAGGCACAGCTCTCTGGTGCCAGGTCACCCCGCCTGTGGTCTAAGAGCTGACACGTCCAGTGGTGGCACCCATTACCTGTTCTCCTCTGGGTCTGACCCACACTCCACCTTGCTTGGCTTCTGTTCCATTCACTTCAATTCCATCCAGGATGCCCTCCAGCACGCCAAGAGACTGGGGTGGGCACACTGGCCCCCCCGGCACAACCACAGGCCGCCCACCCCCTGCCACCCAGGCCCTAGGGCATAGCACCCATGGTGCCCGCCTCAGCACTTGGCCTTTCACACCATGCCCTGCACCCCAAGGGGGGCGGGCGGTGAGAGGGGCCAGGGAGTGGCAGGTGGTAGGGCTGGGGGGCAAACAGGGTCTGTGGGTGGTCCTGGGCTGGGGGTGTAGCTTCAGAGTCGTCTACTGTCCAGAGGTCCCTGTGGAGAGAGAGGCAGGAATAAGAAGGTGCCATGGGGTGGGTGGACAGGGCCCCTCTGGTGGCAATATATTTTGGCTCTTGGGGCCCCTAGCAAGATGGTGGTGGGCATGGGAGAGGCCCAGGATAACCCCTCTGTTCAGCAGGTACAGCAGGCAAGACTGAGCCACACGCCCTAAACCCCAGACATGGAAAGGGATGAAGGGACACAGGAGGTGATCCATGGACCATGTCTCAATTCCATATCCAGTCAAGTGCTCAGCCCTAACACGAGCCAGCTGTTCCCAACTCATCCGAGAGCAAGAGGGGACCAGCGCTGAGTTCCCACCCACGTATGGAGGAAGGGTGAGTGGTGGAGGTGGCCCACAGGCACATCTGAGGGCCTTGAAGAGAGACCCTGAACACAGGGGCAACAGAGCCCGCGGGTGCTGCTGAGGCTGGGCTGCTCACCAGCCTGCCCCAAGAGCTCCAGAGTTTCCCAAACCAGGCCCCAGATCCCACTTCCAGCCCCGAGGGCCACACTTCCCAGCTGCCACCTGGCAGGATGGGGGGGCAGGGCTGGGCAGCACCTAACTTTGTATTCACTGACTAAATAGTGGGCCTGGAACTCTACAGGAAAGGAAAACCGAAGACTCAGTGGTGCTCTCAAGTTCACAGCTTGTACGCAGCGACTCTAGGTGGCTCAATGCCAGCCGGGTTCTGCTACCTGGAGTCCAGGAAGTACCAACCGGAGCCCACCTTTCCCTCTGCTGCGTCTCTGACCCCATGGACAGGCCCGAGGCTTCCGGTCTGCGTGCACAGGCAGGTGTGGGCATGCAGGGGGGACAAAGGGTGCAGCTCCCACACACAACCCCCATCACGTGGCTGCTGCCTCAAGACCTCGCCCTTGGGCCCCCTGGGCCCCACCCCTAGACACTGATAAGGAGCCAGGGTGGGAGGGAAAGGGAAAAATAAGTGAGGCTACCGGGAGGGCAGGACAGGGGGTCAGGGCCTCTGCCCCCAGGGTGGGGAGCAGGGCAGGAGTACTGGGGGGTGGTCCATGGCGCCTCCCTTCCCCACATCACGAATGGGCACTGGGGGCTGGACAGGAGACTGGGGGTGGGGGGGCAAGCAGGAGCCTTAGCCCAGGGAGCCGTCAAGAAAGTAGGTCAAGTTTTTCTTGGCTTGTGGAGAAATTCCTGTTATAAATTTATAATGGCGTAGCCAGCGCTGAGGGGTGGAGGTGGGGGAAGAAGTGGGTGGGGATGCCCTGGGACTGGGCACTGGGGCCCGCTGCTCTCAGCCAGAGTAGTGAAGGAGAGGGGCCGGCAGCCGTGGGGGATGGGCGGGACAATAGAAGGGCTATTTTCTGTTGCCTCTGTTTCCACTTCTGTCTGTGCCCAGCGAGGCTTCGTTTCATCCGTCTGACTGTATCTGAATGTCTCTCTCTGGGCCTGGGTGTCTCCTGTCTCCCCCCAGGCTGTGCCTCGGTGCTTGGCACACCCTGGCTGCGGTGCTGCCCCCGCCTGTCTCCTGCCCACCTGGCACGCTGCCACCACTTGTTTACAGAAGCTGGAAAAATCCACTTGCCAGCCGGAGGCCCAAGCGCCCCCGGGGAAGGGAGGAGGCAGGCACAGGAGTGGGCATGCTGAGAGAGGGACAGCCCTGGGGAGCAGACCCTGGGGGCAGGCGAAGAGGGCCAGGGTGTGTGGGAATGGGGATTAGCAGCTGTGGCCTGGTGGCCGGCTGCACCGACAGCCAGACGGCCACCACAGGGCCGCTTGCTCCTGCCCCCGGCCATGGCCGTTGCTCTGGAGAGCCCCCTCCCCCTGCACCTTCAGCACTGCCAGTTGCTACAGGGCACACCTGGGGTAGTGCCAACCTAAGCCACCATGTTTGTTTTCCCTTCCCCCTTCCCGGCCCAACCTTAACTCCAAATGTGTCTGGGCACTGCCAAGGGCTTGCACGTGCCCGCTGGGGGGAGGGACAGGTTCCCTTTCTGCCCTACCTTTGCGCCAACAGGAGGGGTCTGGGTGCCCGCTGGTGCACCCTGGGCTATGCTTAGCCTCTGGCAGGGGCGAGGGGAACAGGGCGCTGACCTCACTGCTTCGGGCACCCTTGCCTGGCACGCAGCAAGAGGCTGGAACCCCTGAGGATTCCTTGTCCTCCCTAGGGCCTCTGCAGCCACACAGCCAAGCAGAGGCCCGGTGTGTGGGGAGGCGCATACCACGTGAGCCTGTGAGCGGGGCAGGTAGGGGCAGGGATACCCACCCTGAAGGGCAGCCCTTCCTCCTCCCAGAATCATGCTTAATTCCCCAAGCTCCTCCCTGTCACATCCCCTGCAGAGGCGGAGGCTGGGCCCCAACTCGGTGGAGGGTGGAGCTGCGGGGTTCTGAGACCAGGCTGGACAGCCGGATGGCAGGCCCACCTGTCGGCTGGTCTGGCCACCCACTCCCTCTTTGTCAGATAAGAGCCGCCGGGTGTCAGTGTGGGCAAGGCGCCCGAGGCGGGGGAAGCGATTCATTAAGCTGACGTGCTTCTACAACGGGGGGCGCTGGGGGACAGGGATGACAGGCCAGTGCAGCAGTGTCCATGGGCACCTGGCCAGGGTCCCACGCTGGCTGCCCCACTCCAAGTCCTGTGGGCCCAAGGGACACCCCCAAAGGACTCTTGGGGCAGCCAGAGGGGACTCTGCACAGAATCTCACCACCCCCCAACTCTGCAGACGTTTCTCACCTGAGTGTCTGCTCTTGGCATTGGCCCACCTGTCTGAGGCCCCTGAACTTTGTCCTTAATTTTCTAAGGAAAGCCCAGCCCTCCTGCAGGCAGCCACAGAGGGGAGGACACACATAGAGGGGGCCAAGGAAAAGGGGGGAGGCAGAGAGGGGTGCGAGGGGAAGAGAGGCAAGGAGGGGCAGGAACAAAGGGCAGGGATGGGCAGAGGCCAGCACAAGGACACAGAGGAAGGAAGACGTGGCAAGAGAAGGGGGTGGGGAAGAGAAGGGACCAGGCAGAGCAGAGGACAGATAGGGGAGGAGAGACCACGGAGGAGAGGGGAGACAAAGAGAGAAAGGTAACAAAGAAAGATGGGTGGGGGGTGCCTCATGCCCCGCCCCAGTCCCACCCCACGAGGCCGGGGGAGGGGAGTACAAATGGTTTCCACGGTGACAGCTGGTTCTTGGTGGCCTGGCATGTGGGCTATTAATAGTGCTGTGGGTAGGTTCACACCTCCCTCTCCCCTTCCCCTCCGCCTGCTGCTAGGAGGGGTACATCCCCCTACTCCCAATTACCTGGCATAGAGGCCCTGAACCCACATCATGAGAGCCACCAAGGGTGATGCCAAGGGACCCGTGGCCACTGCAGCCTGAACCCACACATGCATGCATACAAACTGACACGGGCATGCACAGGCAGACACAGGCAACTACGTGCAGACCCTGGCACCCGTGCCAACATGGCTCCCATGGGCAGCCACAAAACCAACAGCCCCTGGGAGTCTGGAGGCAGAGGAGGTGGCAGCGACCAGGCAAGCCCCCATGTTGAGGGGTACATGCCTCCCGGGGCTGGGGCCTCTTTCTCCCTTTCCAGAACCTTCCCCCTCCATGGCTCAGGTATGGACTGAGCAGGGCAGCCCCACCCTACTCCTTGTTATCCCAGTGCCAGGAAAGAGAGGAGTGAAGGCGGGAAGGAAGGTACTATTTGGCAGGTGTAAGGTGGAGAGGAGTCAGCTTGGCATCAGCTTGGCAGGTAGGAGGCAGGGAGGGAGCTCTCCTGGTGGGGGGCATTGATGGGATTCTGGAACTAAGGGGTAGTGACCCTTAAGTTGTCCAGTCTCTTAGCACTGCGGGACCTTGGAATTTAGAGAATAGGAGATGGGGTGGGGGATATGACATAAGGGGGAGACTGGCTCCTTAAACAAAGGATCCTGTCCCCCCCAAAGAATATAACAGGAAACTGGCCCCTGCAGGTCAGAGACAGAAAGACATAAACAGCGGCCTTGACTTGGGCCAGATGCCCAGTAGGAACATCAAAGACTGTGTTCCCCCCATGAGAACCTCACCCACCTGCTGCTCTTCTATCCCTTCCAATCCCCAGACCCTCCCAGTCTGACATCAAGGTGGGTGCTGGTATCTGGTGCTCACCTCCACTCCCCCAGACCACTGAGGGTGGGACACCCACACCCAAGAGCTCAATCCTTCCTCCCTTCCAGCCCACAGAGCTTCACACTCATGCATGCCCCAAAGCCCCCAGGAGAGGACGCAGGACATCCACGTAGCCAAGAAGGCAGATTTAGGAGCACCCCAAGCTGGGCATGGCACAGCCCCCCTCCCCCACCAGAGCCAGCGGGTAATGGGTAATCGGAGCTGGGAGCTGGGGCAGCTGGAGGCATGAGTGTCACGGGGCCAAGGCACCCGCTACAGATGGCATCCTGGGTCCAGAGCTTGGGGTCCTCCCCTGCCTACTCCCCTTTTCTGATAGAGAGGAGCTGTCTGCAAGCCCTGGGGAGCATCACCCGAAGAGAAGGGAATGGTGGAGGGAGAAAGACAAACAGGAATGTTCTTCCAGGCACCCCGGGGAGCAGGAGCTATAGCCCCTACTCAAGCAGAACTAGCAAGGAGGGGAGACAGGAGGAGGGAGGAGTGAGGCAGGGAGAGAGGGAGAGAGGGAGAGAGGATGGAGAGAGGGGAAGGGGGGGGATATTGAGAATTTGTGTGTGTGCGCGGTGGGGGCAGACTGGAGGAGGGATGGAGGGCTGCGGGAGGGCGGGAGGGAGCGAGGGAGCGGGAGAATGGAGAGAGGGAAGAGATACTGAGTGTGTGTTTGTGCGTGAGGGGGAGCGCAGGCAGGAGGCGGTGTGCGCATGCGCGCAGGCGAATGCAGCTGAGTCTCCGGCACACACACGGACACGTGCAGGGACACACACGCACTCACCCGCATGCGCACAGCCACGGGCTTGTCCCGGTTCCAGCAGATATTCACAGCCCTCCTCAGCCCACACATGCACAAAACACGCACACATGGACGTGCACACAACACACCCACTCACTGGTGTGTACAAAAAACTGATAGCCACAGAAGCCTCCGGCCGGCGGCCCCCCTCCCCAGCCCACGCGCCGGGTAAAAGAGAAAATGAAAGAGGCAGCGAAGGCTCTGGGGCAGAGAGGCCTCTCTTCCCTGCAGGAGGGAGAGGAGGTGGGCTGGCCACTTGGTCCAGTCACACTGCTGGGGGTGTGTGTGGCTGTGTCTTGGCACTAACCTTTCACTCCAGTCCCTGGTCCCCAGATAGGTGTCCACACGTCCAAAGCAGGGGACCACACATGGCATTTCCTAGGCCCCAGTAAGTTCCATCTTGCTGCCTTTGTCTAGCCAGAGAACTTCTGACCCCTCCCTCTGGCCCACCTCACACAATGGCATATAAGAGGGAGGTCCCTTTTGGTACGCCGCCTGGGTCTGCCAGGGGGGAGGGCAGGCAACACCATATGCCTGAAAACCATATGCCCCCGGCCACACACCAACCCCAGATGCTTCCGTGAGAGACAGGACTGTTTCTCTGGTTCCAGGGCACGCATATTCCCAGTCCCCGGCCAGCCGGGCCCCAGGAGGAGAGGAGACTCCATGGGTGTCGCTCACAAGGCGGGAGGGAAGCAGCACAGAGAGAACACAGGTGTCATCCTGTTACCTCGCTCTCCGTGAGGTGGGCAGCCTTGTCTCCAGATGATGAAAACCCAAGCCCACAGTTAGCAATTGGTGAGTGGCAAAAACTCGGCCTCTCAACTTCCAGCTGGGTCTCTTCCCACAAGGGTCCTGCTGGCTCCCCCCTCAATAACCCTCATCAGAGGCACAAGAGACACCCCACCTCCCCACCCCACCCCTAGCACGTTCGCAGCCCTGAGAACCAGAGGTAAGACTGGCACACACACATATCAGAATCTTACCCATTGCCTCCTGCAGCCTGAAGGGACTCAATAAAAGGTACTGGGGAGAGAGGGGTCTTATCATTAGACTCAAGGAGGGAGGGAGAGCAGCAACCCAGGACAGATGCTAGATCTCAAGGTGCCACCCCACTACCCTGGGCCTTACTGGGTGCCGCCTCCACACTAATGGCCCCTGCATGGGGGAGAAGGGAGTCTGGTGTCTGGCAGCTAGGGCTGGGGCCTCGGGGTTGGGGGGTGCGGAGAGGGATGTACCTTCCCTGGTATTCCTCTCCTCCACCCCCATGGCACTCAGATTTATCCCAATGCAGCTGCAGCGATGCCCAAACATTTATGCATGTACCCCTATCTGGGAGGGGTGTCCTAGGCCCAGAGGCCAAGGACTCCCTTTTAAGCAGCAGCTAAAAAGTAAAGATCAGAGGGGGGCAGGTCAGGGAGGCTCCAGGTGGCAAAAACTTGTAGGGGGGAGACAAAGAGTTGACATGAAGGCAAGGGGCCTGGAAATTAGGGACCCATTAACCTCCAGTCCCCCACCTAGTCCCATTTCTGGGATGTCTAAGAGACTAAGTTTCTCCGAGAAACCCCGAGGATCCCAGCCCCCGGCTCCCTCACAGTCCAGCTTACAAACACAGTGCTTTGATGCACCTGGCACTTTTTAAAGCATTTTATAAATTCTAACTCCTTTAATCCTCAAAAAGCTGAGCGGGGCAGATATTATCATCCCCAATTTACAAATAAGGCAAGGGAGAGGTTAAATTGGTTAAATCACTTGCCCAAGGTTATACAACCAGCAAGTGGCAGAGCTGGGACTCAAACCCAGGCAGTCTAGCTCCTAAAAATATCCCTGCTCTTAACCTTTACCTGCTAGAGAAATGGCGCCGCTATATCCCTTTCCTGCAACTCAGCCTCAGTTTCCCCTTCTGCAGCAGTCCACAGATCCTCCATGGTGGGAGCACTTGTCCGAATAGGTCAGAGCTAGGGGGGCAGTTTGCTCAGAAATGCCTGGTGCCTCCTGCCCCAGGGGCCCCTGTTCAAATCCTCCCCCTGGAAGACTTGCTGGGGCAGCCACTGCAGGCTGGCTCCTGGGAGAGGCTCCTGCGCAGCTGTACCCTCAGACCTAGCAAAGAGGGCACAGCTGTTGGGCATCTCTGAGGTGGGTCTCAGCTGCCAGGGGTATGGAGAAAGGCCATTGTGAGTCCTGCACAGACCCGGCTCAGCTAGGAGTCCTGCCCACTCCTCCCCACTGGCTGCGGGGTGATTATTTCCAGCAGGTCAGTGTGGTGGGGAGCTCCTCACTGGTTTGTTTAGGAGCTGGCCTGCTGCAGCCTGCACACCCAGGGCCACCGCAGAGGTGCTGTCCAGGCTGACTCTGCCAGCCTGAGAGGTCAGCAAGGGCAGCAGCTGACCCCCACCCCTCCTGACCAATCCCAGCCCCCAAAACTTGTTGGCTGCAACTGCAGCTCTGAGGAAGCTCAGGATGTCCTGAACAGCCAGCTGAGCCCCCCGCCCCCCACTCCAACCTCTCGGTGACCCCAGAGGCAGGGCGGGCAGGCCAAGGGGCGGAGCTGGAGTATTAACAACTGGAAAAGTATGAAGAACATCACTGCCAGTTCCCAGCTCTGAGGAAGGAGGCTGGGGCAGAAACAGAGAGAAGAACAGGGGTAGACAGGGGCAGCGACAGGGTGAGAGAGAGTTACAGACTGGCAGAGAGACAAGGAGAGGGAGAGCAGACACAGCAAGACAGCAACAGAGAGACCGTTAGAGGAATTCCAAGTCAAAAATACACATCACTCACCCAGACACTCACCAGCATACGGCCTCCTAAGGAAGGCATCCAAGTTTAGACAAGAGGGCAGAGGTGGGAAAAGGGGCCAGGCTTGGGGGGGAGGCTAGGGCTCAGCTGGGAGTGAGTGAGGGGCCCCAGGAAAGGCTCAGGCCAATGACCCCCAGCAGAGCAGCTAGTCCCAAGCCTCTGCCCCATACTGGGGTGGGATGGGGCCTTCCGCAGGAGCCAGCTCTCCCCAAGACCCTCCTCCATGCAGCAGCCAGGATAATCCCAGCTGCGAGAAGTCACTATACACTGGCCCCTGACTCGGCCCTCTGGAACCCCCTTGCCCCTGCTCCGTAGCTCTAAAGTCTCTGACCCTCCAAACAATTAAAAAACAAAGCCCCTGAGCCTCAAGGAAGACAGCAGGGTGCTGCAGGGGGACCCTCTGTGGGCATGTACATCTCCTCTGCTTCTCCTCTGGCTGTGCCTGACTGCCTGGCTAGGGGGGTACCTGGGGTGGCCTGGACACAGCTAGCTGTGACGGACGGCGTGGACCTGAGCCTCGGGAAGGCCTTCTGCACCAGGCCCCTGGCGGTGGCAGATGAGGGGTGTGCACCTATCACACGGATGCCCGTAGTCAATCAATGCACATGTCACTACAGAGGGCCTGTGCTAGGCTCCGGTTGGGGTCTAGAGCTCTTCCGGGGGTCTTCCCAGGTCTCTAGGAACCATCGAGTGAGATGATGACCAGCCATACCAATGGAGACTCATGGAGCCCGTGTGCCTTGCACCATTATTTCAGGGAGCAGGGGTTTTGTTGCGCACAGCACCCCAGAGCGCCACAGGAGTCTAGGAAAATACTTGTTGCTGACTTACATATCCATACATTGATGTGTAGCTGCCTGTACCTTTGTCAGAGGGAGGGTGACTGTCACGGCAGGTGGTGGTGCCCCTGGGACTGGGCTCATGCGAGCATGTGTGTGCCTGAGTGACAGGGTCTTTTGTAATGTGCGTCTGTGTGCAATTGCTCTGTGTTCATGCATGCGTGCAGTAGTGACTTTTTCTGTGTGGGTGATGACTCCTCCTTGCCCCTGTGTGTGACAGCATCTCCGTGTGACCCTGTGCGTGGGTATGTGCATGGGTCGGCCTCCCTGCTCTTGGTCTCCCGTGGGTGTGTCCCGCCCCTCTCAGCTCCCCAGTGCAGCGGCTGCCTGCCTTTTCCCTTGTCCCCATGTGGGTGTGTCCGGCAGCTCCTGTCCTTGAGTCTGCTGGCTGTCCCTAGGAGTGCATGTGGCTGTCTGTGCGGGCATATCTCTGTCTGCATGTCACGTTTGCTTCCTCAAGGGGCTTGGACAACAGCCCCCTTCATCCCTCCCCCCTCCTGGGGCCAGAGCCAGCATGGAGGGGCAGACTCCCACCCCTCAGGCTTTCCTTCTGCGACCTCCACCCCTGGAAAGGATGGCTCTCCCTCCATTACCCCTTCCTCCCCCCCTTTTCTTCCACACCGGACAAGGGAGGGCCCCAGGCAGGGAAGGGGCACCAGAGACACGTTGCAAGCGGAGGAAAAACAAGGGAGGGGGACGCACAACACAGGTCCATTTCTCCTCTTCCCCAGCCACCCTAGATCGCAGCTGGCCTAATGATCCAGGGACCCTCAAATACACTCTCCCCCATACCGCACACTCTCCCCCCCACCCCCAGCGGCGTTTTTGCAATTAGGAGTGTTGCAACCCGAGAGCCATGCTCAATTGGGGAGGCGGGTGAATTGCTGGGGGGGGACTTCCCTTGCTCCGGGCCCGCGCAAGCCCACCCTCCACCCCACTTATACTGCCCTTCGCGGCTGAAGGCTGCTTTGCAAAGGCCACCCGGCCTTGGCCTCCGAGGCTGGGGGGGGGGCCTGGGGGGGGGCAGGCCTCCGGCGCACCGTAAACAAACCGCGGCGCGGCGGGCGGGGGAGCACCCGCTGCCGACAGCGGGGCCGGGGCCGGGAATGCGCAGCAGACCGGCCGTACAGAGGCCGGGCGGGCCCTCGAGGGGGGAGGCCTGGACGCCATCTCAGCCGGCGAACCCCGGGGCCCACCGACCTCCCGGCAACACCTCCCTTCCCCAGGGCGTAAGTTGCAAGCTTCCCCGGGCTGTGACAGGGTCACCGGGGCGCCGGGAAAGGCTGAGGCTGCCCGCGGATACCCCCTGGGCGCCCCCAGCCCGCCTGGGAGCTGGCCAAAGAGCCCCGCGGCTTTGCATAATCAATCGCGATACATTTGCATATTAATACCCCCTCGCGCCCTCCCCCTTACCTCGGCGTGGCGCGCTGGACCGGGCTGGGCAGCGACGCGGGGTCTCAGCGCCCCGAGCCGGGGGCGTCCATGGGGGGCCG